GGTGTGCTTCTTCCATGTGGGCTTTGTTGCTTCTCAGCTAGTTGGCTGCTTGTTTATCTTCAAGCCTTTAAGACCCCAGACGTTTTTTCTTCTGATAGCCAGGTACCATCAGCTTTCTTCACCACATTTGCTTAGGCACCTGCTTTGTCTTCAACAATCGTGTTGGGAAGGTGAGCATCATGGAATGCCAGTTTAATAGAACAAAGTGTTGTTGCATTGAGGAAGTACTTGAGTAGAGGCCCAATGTCCATGTACCACCTTAATACTAAACCTATAAATATATGTACATAGATCTATATCCCCATTGTAATATATAAATATATTTACATATGTACATGCCTGTATTTAGACCTCTATAAATGCCCTTTGTCTCCTAGTTCCTTCCTCTATTTCTTTTTATTTTCCTCTTGTCCTACTATCATGTTCTACCTTCATTTGGGTTTCAGTAATTCCTCTTGTTACACTGCCCTTGACCACATCCTACCAGGTCTTCTACACCCTCCACGCCATTGATTTTGGATCATTTGTTGTCCCCATGTCCCTGGGTTTGTTAACACACACTTCCTATCCCCCACGCCCCCCTCTCCCATATTCCCCCAGAACCATCGGTCCTGTTGTTTCCTACTCCAGATTGTTTATCCTGCCTAGTGGATCTAGATAGACCTGCAGAGATAATAAGATGCACAAAAAACAAGACAGAGCAAAACAGAGCAACAAAAGAAAACAACCACACAGACAAAAAAAACAAATGAAAAAAAAGAAAGAAAAGAAAAGCTTGTAAATAATTTAAGGTCTGTTTGTTGACCTTTAGGAGTATTTTCCGGTTGAGACTCATGGGGGCCACACCCTGAACCCTAAGTCTCTTTTGGTATTCCCTGGGGACTCCCTTGCTCTGCTTCCCTTGCTGCTCTGTTGCACGACTTCAATCTTTTGCCTAGGTGTGGTGGGGTCAGATCAGGTGCAATTCCTGCATTGTGTCTCCATTATTGTCCCCGTAGGGCTATATGTCAGTCAGGGATGTCGTGTCTCATAGTGGAGCCAGCTCTATGGTCCTTTCTGTGCATTGGCTGCTCCAAGCAGGGATATTGTCCTCAAGGCTTGGAGGGCCTGGATGTGCTCCATGTCCTTCCCCTTCATTTGCTCCTGTGTGCTCTGATCAGACATGTCCCTCTCCCTGAGATGTAGCCTCGGTGCTGTCCTCTGAAGTAAGTTCTTCAGGGACGAGAGGCGGCTGTCCACGTAGTTGGGATTGGGGCTTTATTTATACTTTGAAGGATGCCGGAAGCTATTTTAACTTTTGGCCTTTGGGTGAGTAACGTGATGATGGCCCTGATCTCTGGTGTGCAGACGGCACAAATAAAAGAAGGTTGAACTGTTCCAATCTTTCAGTGTGACACGTGTAAAGATTAGGCAACTGTGCAAAACACGGACTTAAAGGCAGGACAGGTTTCGACAACTTGATCCGTGTGGACACATGCATCGCGGGCAGGAATTTGCAACACTAGATTACATTTGTTCGGGGATCTAAGCAAGCCCTTTAGTATTCCAGCAGAGAACTTCATTGGGGAAAAGAACTGTGAATGCAATGATTGGTCTTCTCTTAGCAGCCCTTGTGGTGTGGGGGTTATGGGTTGGTCTGCGATCCGAAAGTCAGCAGTTTGCAACCAGCCTCCTCTCGGGAGAAAGACAGGGCTCTCTATTCCCATGAACAATTAGAGCCTTAGAAACCCGCAGCGGCAGTGGGATCCCGTCCGACAGGGTTGCTATGCATCACCATCAACCCGATGCCAGCGAGCGTGGTATCAGTTCTTTATTTTTTTCCAGATTAGAGAGGCTGAGGGAAGAACGAGTTTCTGTCATGTGCACCTAAGGACCAGTAAGAAGGATTTTATAGGAAGCTTACAAATCACTTTCCTCAGAGCTACAAAAACTGCAAGTGATGAAAAATTCCCCCACGTCAGTTCAATCCAGCCCAGTAGTTTGCGTTTCCAGGTAAGAGTTAATCTAATCGCCCACGCACAGCCAGTGGAATCAACCTGTTTAGGGGAAAAGAGCGGTGACCGAGGGAAGACCCCCTTGTGCCTTTGGTTAAACACTTGCAGCCCACTCCGACGGGAGGAAGACCAAAGATGGCCTTGTCTGAGCACTTAGCACGTTGCACTGGCTTTCTGTTGCTACCAGAGATAGGCTTTGAAAATAATTGAGTTGCTTTTCCTCCTGAACGTCTAATGTTATGACTCCTAAGTGGTTCTGTGGAGACATTCAGACTAGCCTACACTTTTCTTTTGATTGTGTACTATCAGTGTACCTTTCATCCATCTGAAGAAGTAGATCCTGACTGCAGCTCCCTGCGCCCGTCTTCACCACAATCACCTGCACTACCCGTGGCCACCCAGGCTGCCACGGAAACCACAGGGATTTCAGTCTCTAGTTGTCTGTGTGTGCTTGCAGCCTGGGTACGTGTGAGACCTAAACCCACGCGTGGCTTCCCCAGCTCTCTCGACTGTAGGACCTCCAACCTGACCGCCTTTTTCTGAAGCTTCTTTATAAAATATGATAGTCACAGATGGCTTTTCCTGAAGCATCGTCACAGAATCACCACTGGGGCCTTTGGAGTCTGCGACATGGTCTCAATGGTGTTATCAGAGCATCTAAATCAACCGCTTTGTGCAAAACAGATCCTCGTCAAGTTAGCTCATCAATAAAATAATGCATAATTGTATTTGAAACATACCATATCCTCTTTGATTATGTTCAACCACGGGCATTGCTGCTCTACCCAGGAACTCGTCCCCCTGATCAATCAGAGCTTCTTTCACTGCCTTGTATCCATGCAAGACCACGGTGAGCTGCGGGCCAATGCGCAGGGTGTAGACAGGGCCGTATTCCTTAGCCAGCTGAAAAGACAAGAGTGCCACTGTGGAAGAGCTCGCTTGGAGGCTCACAGTAGAGATTAAGTACTAATTTGACATGGGACTTAGCCTTTGCTCCAACAATTCCATTTTAGGGATGGAACCAGACGAATAGTCATAGAATCATCTATTTTATTTGTTATTTACTAATAGTCTATTAGCATATAATTCATATTTTGTGCAACTCAACAGTTCAGTCATATTAAGAAGAGTCATAAAGTCAACACCACAATGATGTTTACATTTTCTATCTTCTTGTATTCATTGTTATTCGCTCCCATTCCCCCCCTCCCAACCTCCCCTGCCATTCCTCCAAGAAACCATTTCTGCAGGTCCTGTCACAAAGCCTCATCTCTCTCCCACAGAGTCAAGTTGGACCACTCTCCCTTCCGTGGACAGGGAGGGGCTGATAGGAACACCTTCGAGAGCCGCTCTCTATTCTAGGCCACCAGTGGCTACCCGCCAAAATCAGAGGTAAAACGCTGTCCTAGGTCTTCCTGTGCCGACGTCCTGAGCCCCCCAGGCCCGGGGACTCATTCCCTCACATGGTTTTCTGTGCTTCAGAAGTTGTCACAACGGTGCCCGGTCTGCTCCACTGCGTTCCTGGCTATCATTGCAGAAAAGGCAAGTGCACATGTGGAAATAACCCGAGCACCCCTTCGCCACAGCAAACAAACCCCAACTCTGGTTTTCAGAGAGGAAGTCGTGATGGTGAGGGGAGCCACTGCACACTCCTCTCCTCCCCCAACATAATTGGGAAATATTAAAAGTTAATAGAAAGCAAGTATCAATCAGTTTTTGTACATGGATGGGAAGACTTTATGCAAAGATGCTAATAATCCAAAGGAATCTACAGATTGAATACAATCCCAATAAAGTTCCAACAATCTTCTTTGAAGAAATGGAAAAGCCATCCCCCAACTTATATGACATTGCAAGGGACTCCTAATAGGCAAGGCAATCACACCGAGGCAAAACACTAAGGGGGTGCAACAGAACAGCAAAGGAATGGAGCGGCTAGGTCCCCAGGGAATGCTGAAGGTGGACTTTGGGGCCAGGATGTGGTGCCTCAACAGGCTGGACTGGAAAACACTCCTAAATTTCAACAAACAATCTTTGAACTAAGACAGGCTTTTCTTTCTCGTTGTGTTTTTTGGTTTTTGTTTTTTTTTGTCATTGGCTTGTTTTTTTTTAATTGTATATTGTTGCTTGGTATTGCTCTGTCTTGTGTTTGTGCATATTATTATCTCCGCAGGTCTGTCTAAATAAGGTAGGCTGGATGAACAATCTGGAGGAGAAAACAACAGGACTGACAGTTCTGGGGGGACATGGGAGAGGGGGAGGTGGGAGAAAAGGCAGTGGTGTTAACAAACCCAGGGACAAGGGAACAACAAGTGACCCAAAATGGTGGTGAGGAGGGTGTGGGAGGCCTGGTAGGGCATGATAAAGGGTAATGTAACCAAGAGGAATTGCTGAAACCCTGGTGGGGACTGAGCATGATAGTGGGACATGAGGAAAGTCAAAGGAAATAGAGGAAAGAGCAGGGAGGCAAAGGGCATTTATAGAGGTCTAGGTAAAGACATGTACATAGGCAAATATATTTATATATGACGATAGGGAAATAGATCTATGGACATACATTTATAGGTTTAGTATTAAGGTAGCAGAAGGACATTGGGCCTCCACTCAAGTATTCCCTCAATGTAAGAATATTTTCTTCTATTACATTGGCATTCTATGATGCTCACCTTCCCGACACAACCACTGAAGACAAAGTGGG